CTGACGCTTCAAAGCAACCGAGGGAGGGGAGCAGGGGCGGCAGACAGATCTCACCGCCCCCCAACTGTAACCCCCACACCTGGTGCATACTAGGACGGTCCCCCCACCAAACGCACGCTCGCCACCTGGCCCAAACACCTTGGCCGTGCACAGCGTGGCCAGGCATGCTGGTGAGGGCAACCGACTCGCCATGCCGGGCGTCGGTGAGAACGGCCGGGCGGGCCCCGAAACGAGCTCTCGGCGGGGCGGTCCGCTGGGGACAGGCCCGACCAGCACCGGCCCCACCCGGGCCTGCACGATCGTCACGGCCGCGCAGCTGCGTGTCAGCCCTCCAGGCCTCATGCTCGCCAGCCCAGCGGACCGCCTGTCGGGTCACAGGCTCGCGCGCGCGCGGCCGAAGGGCAGCATCATCAGCGGGAGGGTGACGCCTGGCACCGAGCTTGGCCAACCTGTCGCCTCGTCGGAGCCTCTCTTGAAGAATGGGGTCGAGAGTCCCCGCACAACGACCACTACGGATGAGCCCAGACCTCAACAACAGGAGGCGACTCACCATCGTAGGCATGGGAGAAGTGGGTCCACAGGTGGGCACGGCTGCCTGCAGCACTGACGGCGCAACGGGGTGATCTGAGCGCGCTCCTTGTGGCCGCGCAGTCTACGTGAAATGTGGCGGGCCCTGCCACACAGCCGAGAACAGCCACGTACAGGGCACAATGCTCCCCGTCTCGAGCTGCCTGCCACGGGGCCCTCTCCCACGGGGCAGCCCCACAGCATCCTGAACGGAAGAAACCATTGTCGCCAACCATGGCAAGCCCCCGCCCAGCCCGAGAGAGCAGGGGATGGGATGGATCGAGCGCCGAGCCGTCGGGAAAAACGTTGCCCGACGGCCCGCCCTCGGCAGGGCGGCTGACCCGGAACACTCCAGCCTGGCTGCTGACAAGGGGGGGAGGAGCAAGCCCAGGGACGAGGGGGGAGAGGCCAGCAGCGGCCTTCTCGAGGAGGAGGAGGAGGAGGAGGAGGAGGAGGAGGAGGAGGAGGCTGAGGAGGAGGAGAAGGAGAAGGAGGAGCAGTAGGAGCAGGAGGAGGAGGAGGAGGAGGTCCCTCCTCTCTCCTTACGCCGTCTCTGCCTCCTCCCCCTCCTCGCCCTCCTCCCGCCCCCGCCGCACTCTCGCGGGAGCCCCGGTGCCGCTCAGTCCCCCTACTCCCGCTGCGCTCCCGCGCCCCCTCCGGGAGTGGCAGCGGTCGGGGGGGGGGGGGGGGGGGGGGGGGGGGGGGGCAGGCGCCTCGCCCTGGAACGTCGGCGATGCCTCGCCGATCCAGATCGGCGACGGGGCCCCCGATGGTGAGCCCCGCGCGCTCCTGGGCAGGCTGGGGCTAATGGGCGATCCAGGGTCGATTGTGGGTCGATGCATCCCCCCCCCCCTTCCCTGTGCCTATCCCCCCCCCCCCTGCGGCGGAGGCATCGGACAAGGAAACCTTGGAGAAGGCATCCAGGGTCTGGAAGCCAGCGGCATTCCAGCTGAGGATTGGCCATGGGTATCGCCACCGCCCTCACAAGACCACTCTTTCCTATTCCTTTTCCTCACTCCTTCTCCTTCTCCTTCTCCTTACTCGTCGTCCTCCTCAGGAGGACGACAAGGAGGAGGAGAAGGAGGAGGAGGAGGAGGAGGAGGAGGAGGAGAGTCAGGGCGAAGAGGCCCTGCGACAGCAGAGAGATGAGGGGGAGGCGGAAGCGGGAGCATGGGAAGCGGCAGGGTGAGCTGGAGGAGGAGAAGGACGAGGAGGAGTGGAAGTGGGAGGAGGACGCAGCAAGTATTTCACTGAGTGTCCGCTTTCAAAAAGTGGGAGGAGGAGGGAAGGGAGCAGGCCCTCTGGCAGCCCCCCCGGCGGCCCCCCGGCAGCTCTCAGCGGCCTTCCTGGTGGCCTCTGCCGCCATTTGCGGCCTTCGGCATGGGCCGCCGAGTGCCGCCGCCGAGTGCCCTCTGGCGGCCCTCCGGTGGCTCCCTCTGGGCCTCCCAGATGGGGTCGGAGCAGATGGGGTCGGAGGACCGCTCCGCATCGCCGGTGCGCCGGCGATGCGGCTCGACGTGGAGCCCGCTTTGCTCCACGACGACGTCGCCGACGCACCGGCGAAGCCGGAAGCATAATCAGGAGGCCTGCACCCCTGGCGGCGCTCCGGTGGCCTCCGCGCCCCTCTGCGCCTAGGCGGTGTACGCCGCGGCCGGGATGACGGCCGCCGCCCTCGTGGCCGCGGCCCTGGCGGCGGAGGGCCCGGCGCAGGCGGGCCATGCTGCGCGGGCCGGCAGGGCCAGCGCCGCCGCCGACGGCGTCGGCGAAGAGGTTGCAGGGGGAGGAGGAGGAGACGGAGAAGGATGAGGGGGAGGAGGAGAAGGACGAGGAGGAGGAGGAGGAGGAGGAGGAGGAGGAGGAGGAGCGGGGAGGAGGAGGAGGAGGAGGAGGAGGAGGAGGAGGAGGAGGAGGATGGAGGATGGAGGATGGAGGATGGAGGATGTCTGGGGGCATCTCTCCTCCTCCCCTGCCAGGGGAGGAGGAGAGATGCCCCCAGGCATGGCCGCGCCGCGAAAAAAAATCAGGGCGGGCGGTGTGCTGCCAGTCGTTTTCGGCCTCGCGGGGGGGGCCCTCGCGTCGCCGGGCCTCGTGGCCCTCGGAGAAAACGATTCGGGATGCAAAGCCAGTCCCGGGGGGAAAGGGTCGGGACTTCGAGGGACGCCGCATTGAAATTACTGTACAGCCAGAGCGCAGTATCCCCAAACAGAGTTTTCTTTTTAATTACCCACTGCCGTTTCCAAGGTCGATTGCGTGCCCGTCCAGTGCGGGCTGGCATGGCATGTTCGCGCATGACAACCTGATGTTTGCACATGAGATGCTTACACGAAAACTTGTGTGGCGCATGCCTGTCAGGAAGCTAACGCTAGAGGCACCTGGTCGACGAGAAAGCTGTCGGGTCGGCACTGTCAGAGGCTCAGGTTTGGCGACATCTTGGAGTTCAGTATTGGAGGATGTCTCAAACGAAACGGACCGGACAACCTCTCGCACACGTTCTGACAAGTCCACGTCACACTCGCTTCCCGTTAGGTCCTCTCCTGCAACTCCCTTCCTTCTCCCTCCTCCTCCTCCCCCTCCTCCTCCCCCTCCTCCTGCCTGCTCCCTCATCCACATCATCCTCCTCCTCCTTCTCCCTTCCATCTCCTCCTCCTTCTTCTCCTCCTCCTCCACCTCCTCTTCATCCCGAACGGCATCTTGGAGCCCAGAGTTGCGAGGATGTATCCAGCGTAACGGGTTGGACCACCTCGCGCGCGGCATCTCGGACCCCAGAGTTGCGACGATGTCTCGGGCGAAACGTGCTGCGAGGAAGTCTCAGGCGAAACGGGCCTGACCACCTCGAGCGCGGCGTCTCAGAGCTCCGAGTTGCGGGGGCCTCCTGGGGCCTCCTGGGGTCTCCTGGGGACCTCCTAGGGCTTCCTCCTGGGCCTCCTGTGGCCTCCTGGACCCCACCTGGGGCTTCCTGAAGCCTCTTGGGGCACCCAGTGGGGCATATCTAACATGTGGCCGTCTGGGCCCCCCAAAATGGGAGGGGCACAAGAGCAAGAAAAATCAACAAATCGACACCGGATATGTATTAACTTGACGCGTTCTGATAGGGGGCCTCCTGGGGCCTCCTGGGAGCCTCCTGGCCTCCTGGGAATCTCCTGGGGACCCCTGGGGCCTGTCCTGGGAGTCCTGGGTCCCAGGGGGGATATGTAACATGTAGTCTTCTGGGCCCCCATGCTGGACCACCTCTTGCGCGGCGTGTGGGAGCTCAGAGTTGCGAGAATGTCTTGTGCGAAACGGGCCGGACCACCTTGCGCAACGCATCTCAGAGCTCAGAAGTGCGAGAATGTCTCAGGCGAGACGGGCCGGACCACCTCGCGCAGGGCATATCAGGGCTCAGAGTTTGGAGGATGTCTCAGGGGAAACGGGCCGGACAACCTCTTGCGCAGCATCTCGGAGCCCAGGGTTTCTAGGATGTCTCAGGCGAAATAGGCTGGACCACCTTTTGCGCGGCAGCTCAGAGCTCAGAGGTTCGAGGATGTCTCAGGCGAAAGGGGCCAGACCACCTCACGCGCGGCATCTCAGAGCTCAGAGTTTCGAGGACGTCTCAGACGAAACGGACCAGACCACCTCTCGCGCGGCACCTCGGAATGCAAAAGTGCGAGGACGTCTCAAGTGAAACGGGCCGGACCACCTCTCGCGCGGCATCTCGGGGCTCAGATGTTGGAGAATGTATCAAGCGAAACGGGCCGGACCACCTCTCGCGCGGCATCAGAGAGCGCAGAGTTGCCAGGATGTCTCAGGCGAAACGGGCCAGACCACCTCGCGCAGGGCATATCAGGGCTCAGAGTTTGGAGGATGTCTCAGGCGAGACGGGCGGGACCACCTCTTGCGCGGCATCTCGGAGCCCAGGGTTTCTAGGATGTCTCAGGCGAAATGGGCTGGTTCACCTCTTGCGCGGCATCTCGGAGCTCAGAGTTGCGAGGATGTCTCAGGCGAAACGCGCCAAACCACCTCGCGCACGGCATCTCAGAGCTCAGAGTTTGGAGGATGTCTCAGGCGATACGGGCCGGACCACCTCTCGCGCGGCATCTGGGAGCCCAGAGTTTGGAGGATGTCTCAAGCGAAACGGGCCGGACCACCTCTCGCGTGGCATCTCAGAACTCAGAGTTTCGAGGATGTCTCAGGCGAAACGGGCCAGACCACCTCCTGCGCGGCATTTGGGAACTCAGAGTTTGGAGGATGTTTCACGCGGAACGCCAAATCCCGGGCAACTCAGAAACGAGAGTTGCGAGGATGTCTCAGGCGAAACGGACAGGACCACGAAATTTGTTTGATGACGTCTCTGCTTTGAATTCCCTCCGCCAGAGTTAGCTTCTATCACAACAGCATCCCGTTCAGCAATCTGTCTGGGGAAGGTACCCATACCTCTACCCCTTCGCCCGTTTTCTCCTTTTTGGGCGTCGTCGGAGGCCATCGTCGCCACCGCTGGATTCGCCTCGAAGTCCTGGTCAGAACGCACCCCGGGAGAGGTCGGGGGAGTAGCGGTATCGGTACATTCTGGTTTCCCCGAAGTTGCGGGACGATGGCGAGTGTGGCGACGGCGATGGTGGTGGTGGTGGTAGCGATGTCGACGGCGATGCCGAGGGTCGGGCGGGAGCTCTCGGGCGGTGGTGCGATGAGGACGACAATGGCGACGCCGCGCACATGCGTTTTGCGTAAGTGGCCAGCAGCTACACGGCTGGAGGGCGGGCGGTTTGCAAAATGCGCCTCTCCACGTGGTACGGTACACATGTCGCTAAGAAATTTCCAGTTGCCAGTCGGATGGAGGGCGGGCGGTTTTCAAAGTGTGGTTGACGCCTTACTACTGCGAACGCTAGCGTGAATTAGCTTTCAACCGCAACACCGATACAGAGCGGGTGGTTCCTTATCATGTATGTAGCGCAGCGCACACTTGCAGTTCCCATCAGATTCGCCCATGAAGTGCGGGTGGTTTTCGAACTTGCGGCTTGGACCGCGAAGCATCCAAAATTCATGGCACAGCATTGGAAAAATGGTGAATCACCTGCACTGCAGGAGAGCGGTTATGTTTCAATGTTGTGTGTGTTATCGTTTTTGAGGTTTTACTCATCGCACGGCCACGGATGTGAGGGTGTGTGCAGCTCACTGGACGGATGCGCGGCGGCTCGTTGTCACAACGGGGCTCTCGCTGGACGAGGCTCTGAGTTTTGCAGCACCCTGCGCCATCGCGATCCTCAGAACTAGAAGGACACGGGGCAGCGTATGTTCGAACTGGGGCCGTCACACGAATGGAAGGACCATGTACTTGGCATCGCTCGAACGTGTGCATGTTTCCTTCGTCGAGGACCATCGAAGCATCCCTAATCATTTGGCGAAAAAAAACACCCACCAGACCGAAAATTACACACCTATCTTAGAGATAGAAGGACACAGGGCAGCGTATGTTCGAACCGGGGCTGTCACACGAATGGAAGGACCATGCAGGGGGTGCTTCTAATGGGGATAAGGAGTGCCCGCTACAATGTATGTGGAGCCCTGGGACGGGAGAGTGTGTTGCAAACTCGTGGATGCTGCCTTGGTTTATGCTGTCTTGGCTTATCCTGATTCGTCCGCCCCCCGCTTTTTCCCCTTTCTGGATCCATCAGCATCCTATTCCTCCCCATCCTCCTCCTTATTCATCTCAACCTCGACTCCTCCACTTCTTCTTGCCCTTCTCCGTCCTAGCACTCGCCTCATCCTCCGCCTCTTCACGTTCTTTTGGGAGGGCAGGCATGCATCTCTTCGGGACCATTCAAGGAGGGGGTCCGTGGGGCATCCACAGAGCAGTTTAGAGCCCGACACGAGACCTCCTGTGCCAGATGCTCATCAGGGGTGGTGCGCGTCGGGAGTGAAGGCTGCGCCTCTAAGAGCTGGCACTTCGTTTGGCAGAAGGGTCTCTGGGACCGCCCCGCTGGGCCCCAAGAGAATGCGAGTACAGCCAGGACGATGGGATCCATACCATCTTGGGGGTCAGGAGTGGCTACGGTTTGCGGGCCGCCCCGTGGGTCTGGGCCGAGGAGACCATGCGTGGCGAGGCTCGCCGCGGCGAGGACACCCCCCTTGTTCAGCGCACTGCATTGCAGCAATATGGTTGCACGTGATGACTGAAGTGTAAGAGCGCGTGCCAGACGTCGAGAGCCCCACGTGCGCATTCGTTTGGTGCACGGCTTGCTCTACGAGCGTCTGAGCGTGAGCGAGCACGAGTGGGGGAGAGAGGCCCGAAGCGAGTGGTTTTGAGTACAGTAGGGGTCTTGAAGAAGGAACCCTTTTCGTTGGGGAGGGGCTCGGCGTTCCTTGATTGTTTTACAGTTCGCCTTGGGTTTTCCCGAGGGTTTCCATGGGAAATCGAAGTTCATCTCATGGGAAAAAGGGGCCTCGTTCCTTATTTAGGGTTCCTTAGGTCAACGCCCCGACTGTACGAGCGAGCCCTGAGCACGAGCGACAGTACTGTTGGGTATGAGCGTGAGTCGGTCCGGGTCTGAGTTGGTTTGGGGAGTGGTGGGCAGGCTCGGCCTCAGGGGCCCTCTTGGAGCCTCCCTGGGGCCTCTTAGTGGCCTGCTGGGACCAGCAGGAGGAGAAGGAGGAGGAGGAGGGGGGAGAACGAGGAGGAGGAGAGAGGGGAGGAGGGAGGAGGAGGAAGCATGAGAAAGGGGGGGGGGGGACGATGCGGAGGATGCGGAGGAGGCAAAGGCGCGCCCATCTCCCAAAACAGGCGGTCTACATGAGCTGCCCCACCAATCTGGTCGCGAATGGGGTCGTGCTATACCCCCTGGTCGCCCCGCCCGTGTCATGCCCTGTGGTGGCTCCCCCAGGGGGGCCCGAGTGCGATGCCAGCTGCATCGCGGCGATTATGGGGTCGAATGCGGTGCCTATCGCATCGCGCTTGCTCGGATTACGCGTGACATGCCGAGCCTGCAACGGAAGGCACTTGTGGGTCACTTCTGTGGCGAGCTTTCTTGAGCCGACATTCTCTCACTTAGCACCTCAGGCGTGGCGCCGCGTGGAGCGCAGCCGTTTCGGCTCTCAAGCCCAGGCTCTGTGCGCTCGAGCTTTGTCTTGGCCGGGCCAGCCCGGCTTCGCTCCGGCTGCGACGTTCGCACCCATGGGCGGCCCTGCTGTAGGCTCCTCTTCCTCCTCCTCCGCCTCTTCCTCCTCCTCCTCCTCCTCCTCCTCCTCCTCCTCATCATCATCATAATCATCAGCATCACCAACATCACCATGATCACCATCATAATCAGTATCATCAGCATCAGTATGAGCATCAGCATCATCATCAGCATCATCATCAGCATCATCATCTCATCGTCATCGTCATCATCATCATCATCATCATCATCATCATCATCAGCAGCAGCAGCAGCAGCAGCAGCATCGTCATATCATCATAATCATATCATCATCATCAGCATCAACATCTCATCATCAGCATCATCATATCATCGTCATCGTCATCATCATCAGCAGCATCATCATCATCACCATCCTCCTCCTCCTCCTCGTCATCATCATCCTCATCATCATCATCATCATCATCATCATCATCATCATCATCATCATCATCATCATCATCATCATCATCATCATCATCATCCTCGTCATCATCATCAGCATCAGCATCATCAGCAGCATCATCATTAGTAACATCATTTCCATCATCAACATTCTTATTATCATCACCAGCATCATCAAGGTATAGAGGCCTGCGGCCCGCGCACGGGCGGCTCGGAGCTGGAGGAGGACCGGCGACTCGTGGGAACGGCCCTCCGCCAGAGCGACCTCTGGCGCGCGGCTCTCGGACGCCTAGTTCTGTGGGCGTCTCCGTCTCTGGGCGTCTCCGTCTCCTCTCCTCATCCTCATCCTCGTCCTCCTCGTCCTTGTCCTCCTCCTCCTTTTCCTCCTCGTCCTCGTCCTCCTCGTCCTTGTCCTCCTCCTCCTTTTCCTCCTCGTCCTCCTCGTCCTTGTCCTCCTGCTTCTTTTCCTCCTCGTCCTCCTACTCCTTTTCCTCCTCGTCCTCGTCCTCCTCGTCTTTGTCCTCCTCCTCCTTTTCCTCCTCGTCCTCGTCCTCCTCCTCCCCCTCCTCCTCCTCCTCCTCCTCCTCCTCCTCCTCCTCCCTCCTTACTTGGGGTGTCCTGCCCAGAGGGCCTCCCTGCCTCGGCGGGCGCTCCGGCCGCTGCGCCTCGCCGCGGGCGCTCCGTATAGGGTGCCCGCCTCGCCCCCCGTCAGCTGCCGCCGGGGAAGGCTGGAGGCCCGGGCTGCCCTCGGGGGCCACGACAAGCAGCAGCAGCAAGAGGAGGAGGAGGAGGAGGAGGAGGAGGAGGAGGAGGGAGGAGGAGGAGGAGGAGGAGGAGGAGGAGGAGGAGGAGGAGGGGGAGGAGGGGGAGGAGGAGGAGGAGGAGGAGGAGGAGGAGGAGGAGGAGTGGAGGAGGAGGGGGAGGAGGAGGAGGAGGAGGAGGAGGAGGAGGAGGAGGAGGAGGCCCGGGCTGCCATCGGGAGCCTTGAGACGGGGGTCAATACAAACGGGGGTCAGCCAGAGCGCCAGATACCTTGCAGGATCCTGCAGGGCCAGGCTCCCATTGACCCGGGCTTGGGTGCAGGAGCCTGCAGGATTTTGCGGGATCCTTCGCGTTGACCCAGGTTTGGGTGCAGGGTCTTGCAGGATCTTGCAGGATTCTGCAAGGCCTGGCTGACCCGGGTTTGGATTGACCCGGGTCAGAAGATCCCCGGCTGCTATCGGGGGCCACGACAGGGGGGGGACCTCGAAGAAAAAAAAAGTCCACATGAACATAATTTTTTGGCGCTCCGCGCGGATTTCTTGGATCCGCGCCTGGGCCCCCCGGCGGCGCTTCCGGCGCCGCCCCTGGCGCTCTCCGCGCGCCAGGAAGGGAGGTCCAGCGCGAGTCCAAGAAATCCGCGCGGGAGTGCCAAAAGTTGATGTTTATGTGGTGTTTCTTTTTCTAAGATAGGCATCGGGGGCGTGGGGGACGCATCGGCCCCCAATCGCCCATTGGTCGCCGACAGGGGCCCGACAGCCCCAACCTGCCCAGCAAGGTGCGGATTCACTATCGGAGGCCTGTCGCCGATCTGTCGGCGATGTGTCGCCGATGCCAGGTCGACGCATCCCCCCCCCCCCCTATGCCAGTCCCCCCCTATCGTTGCCCCCCAGCTACATGACCCCGAAGCCGAGTGCGCGGGCTTCCCGGGAGCGGGGAGCCGAATCCCAGGCACGCAGGCCGCTATATAGCGTCGCGTCGCGTGCATCGGCCGGCAAGCCGCGCGCCGCAGGTCCCTTGAGATCCGACGCTGCGAACAAAAATGCAGCGTCGAGGCAACACACGGCTGGAGCCCCAGACCCCCATATTTTTGCACCGCTTTTCGAGCCGCATCGATCTGGGATGGTCCCGGGGCGCCCGGCAGCAGCCCGTGCTGTGAAAGAGGGGCGGCGCTGGGACTTCCGGGTCGGTCTGGCGTGGGGCCGCCTCCTGCGTGCCGCCGCGAGGAGGACGAGCTCGGCCAGGACAGGGGAACAAAGAATGACACAGTCAAAAACCCTAATAAGGACGCGCGACTTTGCTCAGGGTACCCTTGCGTCCTTGCTCTTCCTTGCTCTTGCGTCCTTGGGGTTTTCGTCGTCCGCCGCCCCAAAAATCCCAACTTCGGCTTCCAAGGGTCTTGCGTCCTTACCGCGCGTCCTTATTAGGGTGTTTGATTGTACACATGAAGACGCGGAGGTCCCCGCGGAGTTCTCTTACCTCCGCGCTGGACCCCCCTTCCCCGGCGCGCGCAGCGCGCCAGGGGGCGGCGCCAAGAGGCGCCGCCCGGGGGTGGGGGAGTCCATCGGCAACGCGCAGAGGGTGGTAGGGGGAGGGGGAAGGCTTCTTAGAAGTACCCCTGCTTCTTAGAAGGCGCGGGCCTTCTCTATAGACGTAAGGCCGAGGCCTTCTAAGAAGCAGGGTGCTTCTAAGAAGCCTTCCCCCCTCTCCCTGCCCCCTTTTGCGCGCCGCCAAGTCCAGCGCGGATCCGAGAAATCCGCGCGGACCTCCGAGTTCTGATGTTTCCAGAGGTCCGACGTCGTGATTTTTTAATACGCAGCCCCCCGCCGTCTCGACCCCTTCCCCAGGACCCGTTTTTCCTCCCGAGTCGTTTTCTGACGGTCCCAGGGCCCAGCGAGGGCCCAGGGCCCAGCGAGGGCCCCTAGAGAGGCCGAAGATCGAGAAGAACCGAGGCCTCGCTCTCTTCCATACCTTGTGGAGGTCTGGGACTCCAGGCCGTCCTCCCTTATCCCCCTTGCAGGAGCCCTGGGCGGGCCTGCGGGCGCGGCAGGTCTCGGAGCCGGTGATGAAGCGCCAGCCCTCCGCGGCCGCGCGCCAGGTCTCGGGGCGAGCGGGGGGCGCCCTGGGCGGCGGCTACATCCGCGAGGCGCGGCCGCGCGCCTCCCCCGGGGGGGGGGGGGGCGCCGGGCGGGAGGCCTGGGCGGAGGAAGGAGGAGGAGGAGGAGGAGGAGGAGGAGAGGAAGGAGGAGAGGAAGGAGGAGAGGAGGAAGAGGAAGAAGAAGAAGAAGAAGAAGGAGGAGGAGAGGAAGAAGAGGAAGACGAGGAAGAAGGGGAAGAAGAGGCTGAGGAAGAATAATAAGGAGAAGGAGAAGAGGAAGAAGAGGAAGAAGAGGCCTTGGCTGAAGAAGGAGAAGGAGTCGAGAAGAAACATAGGAAGAAGAGGAAGAGGAGCAATAATAATAATGATAAAAATAAGAACGCATGCCGTCAGCTGAAGCAGTGGCGGGCCTCCTGGCTCGCTCGCCGATGGACCCAGCAAGGAATCTTCAGAGGACCTCGCGTGGTCTGTGCAAGATGCTCTTCGAACATGTCTGGCTGAGTCCGTCCTCTTTTGATGCGTCGGTCGTATGTTCCCAGAACATTGTTTTTGTTATTAGAACATTTTGGGGTTCTAAAAAGAAAGACAGTATTGGGTGGCGCGGGGCGGGAGGCCTTGGTCGAAAAAAGAAAATGATAAGACGAAGAAGAAGAAGAAGAAAACATGCCATAAACATACATGGTTGGCGCTCCGCGCGGATTTCTTGGATCCGCGTCGGGCCTCCCCGGGCAGCGCCTCTGGCGCCGCCCCTGGCGCGCCCCGCGCGCCAGGGAGGGGGGTCCAGCGCAGATCCAAGAAATCCGTGCGGAGCGCCAAAGTTTATGGTTATGGCATGCTTTCTTCTTCTACTTGGAGCCTGGCGGGCTTCGAGGGACGCCTGGGGGGCTTCCTATGTAGAGCTCAGAGGTCGGGAGCGCAAGAAGGACGCACACGTACACAAATCCACCCACGTTGGTTTCGAAAGTGCGCATTGCGCGAACGATCGTATCACGAGGCTGTTCTCACGGATTGGGGGCCCGTAGGTTATTCATGTACGTGTTTGGGCGCGTATGTCCTTTGTTGATTTCCTTACACAAGCCTTCCTGGCATCCGAGAATCATCGAGCGCGTTCCGCTACTCGTGAAGTGCCCACTCGCAAAGGTGCAAAAAACAAGTGATGCGTCATGCAATGGAGCCGGTATGCCTCGACGCAATGGATCCAGACCATTTGCGAGTACGGTCGAGCACACTATTAAGAAACCTCACCCCGAAAAATTGAGCCAGCGTTTCTTAACCGACTTGCCGGAAGCTATCCCAGTTTCTTGAGCGCGTTCATCCCTCCAGCGTTAACAGAAATTGGCCCAGCTCTGTTTCGAAAGACCGCCCTGAAGCTGGCGCAGGTTTCTTGGCTGCTAGTTATTTGACCATATATTCGGCTGCAGGTACTCTGTGACCAGCGGAGCGCGCCCGTCTGAAGAAGCCCTCTCAGATCATCGAGGAGAAAAGAGGCCCTAACCCCTAACCCGAATGCCACAGTGAAGACGTGGCCTCACTGAGGTCTCCTCCTTCGCATTCGGGCTTCTATGTGTGGGCGGTTTGCTTCGGTTCATCTGCAGAAAAGACCCCCTATCCCTAATGTGTTTGGCCCTCCGAACTGAAGTCCCTCCGGAAGGGTTAAGGATCCTTTATTGGCGAATCATCGGAGGCCCCGTTCCTCAGAGGGTGCCCCGGCCACTACCAGAGGTAGGAGAGGCAGGAGGAGGAGGAGGCGGAGGAGGAGGAAGAGGAGGAGGAGGAGGAGGAGAGGAGGAGGAGGAGGGGAGGAGGAGAGGAGGAGGAGGGAGGAGGAGGAGGAGAGGAGAAAGAGGAGGAGGAGGAGGGAGGAGGAGGAGGAAGGAGGGGGAGGAGGGAGGAGGGAGGGGGGGAGGAGGAGGAGGAGGAGGAGGGAGGAGGAGGAGGAGGAGGAGGAGGAGGAGAGGAGGAGGAGGAGAGGAGGAGGAGGGGAGGGAGGAGGGAGGAGGAGGAGGAGGAGGAGGAGAGGAGGAGGAGGAGGAGGAGGAGGAGGAGGAGGAGAGAGGAAAGAGGAGGAGAGAGGGAAAGGAGGAGGCGGAGGAGGAGGAGGAGAGGAGATGATGATGATATATGATGAGTTGATGATGAGGAGGAGAGAGGAGGAGAGGAGGAGGGAGGAGAGGAGGAGGAGGAGGAGAGGAGGAGGAGGAGAGAAGGGAGGAAGGAGAAGGGGGACAAGGGGGGAGATATAGGAGGAGGAAGAGGGAGGGCGTAGGCCCCTTTCCCAAGAGGGCGGCCCGCCTCCTCGGAGGGCCGCCCTCTCGCGTCCTTTCCCCCCCCCCCCCTCCTGCCCGCCGCCCCCGAGAGGAGCTGGAGGAGCCCGAGGAGGAGCGCCCGGTGCCCGAGGACGGCCACCTCGGGGGAGGAGGGGCCCCGAGCTTCGCTGCTCCTCCTCTTCCGCCCTCCTCTTCCTTCCTCCTCCTCTTCCTCCTCCTCCTCCTCCTTCTCTTCGCTCCTCCCCTCCTCCTCCTCCTCATCCTCCTCCTCCTCCTCCTCCTCCTCCTCCTCCTCCCTCTCCTCCTCCTGATCATCATCCTTATCCTCCTCCTCCTCTCCTCATCCTTCTCCTCCGCCCTGCTCCCTCCGCCCTCCTCCCTCCTCCCTCCTCCCGCCTCCCTCCTCCCTCCGCCCTCACCCCACCCTCCTCTCTCCTCCCTCCCGCCTCAATACGCCCGCTTGAGACGCAACGCGTACCGTACTCAGAACGTCCGTGCCAGTACGTTGCGTGTTGGCTCAGCGCATCGGCCCACGCTTTGGCGAACGCATCGCGTCAGGCCTACGTGTTCAGTCTACCTGTGGAGTTCCGGTCCGTGTCAGCACGTTACGGATTGCGTGTTGCGTATCGGGGTAGCCAAGGTCACAAGGTGCAGGCCTCCCAGAGGAGCGACGCACAAGAACGGGGGTGCCTGCGCCAACGTGGGCGCGTGGGCTGCCCGCGCAAGGTCGCGAGTAAGTGCCCTCGTCTCCTATGTGGCGTGCCGCGCCAGCGGCCCGCGCAAGTCACCGCGTTAGGTCGCGAGGCTATCTCGCGTAAGATCCGTTTCCTTTCGTCGGCCAGATGTGGGCAGAGCAGGTGGGGTCCGAGGATTGCGCCGCATCGCCGATGCAGTGCTCCGACCCCATCTGCTCGGGCCCCGTCTACCCAGACCCCCGACGTCATGATGTCTTCTGACGTCGACCTCAGCGGTCTCGACCCATCCCCTGGACCGGTTCCTCATCCCGAGCCGTTGTGTGACGATCTTGAGGGCCGGCGAGGGCCCACTATATAAAAAAAAAATCCTGCCTTTTTTTTCTTAGCCATTCGTTGGTGTTGGGTCATCGTTTTGAAGAGACAGCATCCTGCGTTCCTCTCCTCTCCTCCTTCCCCTCCTCCCCGCTCCTCCCATCCCTTGCACCACCCCTCACACGTTTCGTGGCCCCATAGGGAGCTCCACCAGGGGCCCCAGTGGCAGGGTTTGCATGCGGTTCCGCCCCCATGTCGGCACACACACACACACACACACACCTCGCACGCTTCGTGGCCCCACATGGAGCTCCACCGAAGACGATACTCACAACTGCGGCACCCACGACTGCATATGAGGCGTTTCGAAAGGGCCTTGCCTTCGCGGACCGAAGGAGTTGTCATATTTTCCTCGGCGGAAGGGCGGCGGAAGGTCGGCTGAACTACAACCAGGCCGCCTCCGCCGGCGGAAGCTGGCGGCAGGCTGGGGGAGGGCGGCGGAAGTAAAAGATGTGCCCCCAAGAGATGACAAACGTTTTTGGGCCCAGGGTTTCCGAAGTCGCCCCTTTGGCCGGGCCCTTCGCCACGCTCATGTGCCACGACGCCCCAGGGGTCTGGGACCCCAGCGGCTCGGACCCCGCCTGGGAGGCCCCCTGTAAGGGGCGCGTGCCCAAGACGATGCTCACAATTGCCGCGCTCGCGGCTGCATATTGCTGGGTCCGTCGCCAGGCTCATGTGTCACGACGCCCAGAGGTCTGGGACCCCAGCGGCTCGGACCCCGCCTGGAAGGAGGCCCACTGTGAGGCACGCGGACCCCGGCTTCCCTTCTCTCTGCGCGCCGCCGGCGGGCCTCTGGGGCCCGGATCCCTGGGCCTGGCATCACTCGGACATTTGCTCTTTTTTTCTCGGCGAGGGCCCACGAGGAGTCCATCTTGGACCATCTCGCGGGAGAACTTCCTCCTCTTCCTCCTCCTCCTCCTCCTCCTCCTCCTCCTCCTCCTCCTCCTCCTCCTCTTCCTCCTGTTCCCCTTCCTCAAGGCGCAAGGCATCCGGCCAGGATGCATCTCTATATCCCAGCAACTGAACGAGGGACAGGAAGCCACAGTCACGACGGACGCAACCAGCCAGCCCTCCAGCCTTTTACGGGGCACGAAACAAGGGGACCCGCTCAGTTCTCCTCTCTTCAACGCTCTTCTATAACACATTCCCGAACCGGTGATCACCGAATTGCAAAATAAGGGCAAGGGCGTTCAGCTGGGGCCTACCACCACCACGCTCACCAAGTTTCGTTTCGCCGACGACGTGCTCTTGACCAGCCAGACTCTTCCGCGCCTCACCACGATGGTCGAAGATATTGTGCGCGCGGCGCAGGCGCACGGACTCGAGCTGCACCCTTCCAAAACCAAGATACTGAACAACCAGACGAGACGGACCGGCAGGGCGAGCTCGCACACGGCGCGCGTTGAGGGCATGGACATAAATATATTGCCACACGAAGGCATCATCAAATACTTAGGTCAACTCATCAGCTTCCACGACGCGATGGGGGCAGATATCCATCACCGCAAGAGAGCCGCGTGGGCATCTTTCACCTCACGCTGACCAGCGAGCACCATCCGTTGGCACACAGGCTTCGGTTGTTCAGTAGCACAGTAACGCCGACGGCGCTGTACGGAGCAGAGACGTGGACGCTCACGGAACCTCTCGGGCAACACCTGCCACGAACGCAACGACGCATGCTCCGCATGATCATCATAACGACACGTGACACGGCGACGCACGACTCACCGCACAATCCCTCGCAATAGCCAAAGCGGCATGGACGACGGCACGACCAACAAAGCACCTTGCGACGACGACGACGCAGACAGCCACGCAGCACAGCAAGACGCAACAGACCGGCACAGCGAGAGCAACGACGACGACGACGATTTCGACAACGAGGATACGCTAGAGCCTCGGGCTTAACACATTCAGGGAGCAACACGGCGCGCAGAGCAGGTAACGCAGCACCACCAAGTCGCAAATTGGGAGACGATTCAAAGACAGAGGTCGTGGCTCATGGCGTCGAGGGTTGCTAACCATGACTCCACCAGGTGGACGTTGCTCGCACTTTATTGGCAACCTGGAGAGAGTTCACGCCAACGCGGACAGCGACAGCAAGGCAGCCAGCGCAAACGTTTGGAGGACGACGTCGTCAAGTTCTTCCAAGAAGGCAACCCCGACCAGCATCCAACGCTCACGCCGACTACAAAATGCCAACAAAACGACTGCACCTGGATTCGCGCAGCTCAAGACATGTTTGCGTGTAGTCCATACGTACAAGTTTCAGGAGGCCACGGCCTCCCCCACCAGGTTTTGAGTAGGCCCGGACAGCTGTCCGCAGTGGTGGCTCGTTCGCTCGTTCGTTCGTTCGTTCGTTCGTTCGTTCGCTCGTTCGTTCGTTCCTCCTCCTCCTCCTCCTCCTCCTGCTCCTCCTCCTCCTCCTCTTCCTCCTCCTCCACCTCCTCCTCCTCCTCCTCCTGCTCCTCTTCCTAAGGCGCACGAGGCCTACCAATGCACGGGAGGGGGCACCAGAGCGCTGGCAAAGCGGCCCCTGGACCGTCGGGGAACGGCCCGGGGAGAAGCAAAGCTGTCCCGGGGAGACCCCCGGGGCCCTTTGTCGACTAGACGTCAGAGTGACCTTTCGCCGGAGAGACCTCTGGTGCGGGCACAGATGGGCCCCCAGATGGCTAACAACGAAGCAGTAGCAGCTGCTTTCGCGCCCAGGTTTGGTCCCCCCGCGGCCCCCAAAAAGCCGCGCACCAAAGGTCACTTTTACCCAGGGTCACTCTTGCGTATAGCCGACGTTGGTAGCAAATCGTGGGAGCTTGGTATGCCTTCTCAATTCCGTTTGTAGCGTCGACTGGCGTCGACTGGCGTCTGGGAGTTCATGATATAGCGAATCTCTTTCTCTCTCTCTCTCTCTCTCTCTCTCTCTCTATATATATATATATAACGAGAGAGAGAGAGAGAACAAAAAAAAGAGAGAGAAAAAGATAGATTTAGCGTCGAGTTCGCGTCGACTAACGTCGGTTTGGCGTCGATTGGCGTTGGCGAGCGTCGGTTCGCAGGAGCCATCAAGACGGTATGGGAGGGCCCCATGAGTTGCCACAGGGGGCTGCTGGGCCGTCAGGGAGCGGCCCGGGAGGAAGCGAAGCTGTCCTGGGGAGGGCCCCCAGGGTCTTGGGCCCGCTGCCCTCGGGGCCCGCGGGCCCGCTCCCTTTTTGCTTCACGCCAGGAGGAGGAGCTGGGGGAGCCCTGCTGGCTGCTCGGGCAGGACGGGAAGGCGGCGCGCCAGGATCGGTTCGGACAAAGGTGGGGCAGGATGGGAGGATGGGCCGGTTTTCCACCACCGCTACCATAGGTAGGAGGAGGAGGAGGAGGAGGAGGAGGAGGAGGAGGAGGAGGAGGAGGAGGAGGAGGGGGAGGAAGAGGAGGAGGAAGAGCAAGAGGAGGAGGACGAGGACGAGAAAGATGAGAAGGAGGAGGAGGAGGAGGAGGAGGAAGACCAGTGTAAACCCAAGAGTCATCAACGATGTTGGAGTAAACCCTCCCTCCAAGCTCCCTCTTTATAGGCCCCTACAACGGTTCATTTCCATTGATGGAACTGCCTCGTTGGAGGACACCCGTTTGAAGACCCTTAAAGCATGCCAAGACATTGTTTTCGGGATTCCAACGCCACGGATCAACCTCCAGAACGCCATTCGTAGGATTTCAACACAGAGAATCAACGTAATTGTCGCGCCCGCATAATCTTGAATCCTTCCAACACATCGTTTCTGGTACGCTGATGATGGGAATCCGTGAAACTCTTGCACATGTTTAGAACGAATGTGCGCCGCGCTAAGGCGAGAGTCACATGTTGAGAACGAACCGCCCTCAATCCGTGACATTCTTGCACTTTTTATTAAAAAAAGGACGAATGTGCGCCGCGCTAAGGCGAGAGCCACCTTTTGGAAACCACTCGCCCTCAATCCGTGAAACTCATTGCATAGTTTAAAAAGAATGTGCGCCGCGCTACAGCGAGAACCACATTTTGAAACCCATCATTCGCTTTCAATCCGTGAAACTCTTGCACATGTTTAGAACGAATGTGCGCCGCGCTAAGGCGAGAACCACATTTTGAAAACCACCCGCCCTCAATCCGTGAAACTCTTTCTCATGTTCAATTGAACGAATGTGCGCGGCGCTAAGGCGAGAGCCACATTTTGAAAACCACCCGCCCTCAATCCGTGAAACTCTTGATTTGTTGTTTAACGAATGTGCGCCGCGCTAAGACGAGAGCCACAGTGTGAAAACCACCCGCCCTCCATCTGTGAAACAGTTGCCACTTTTGAAGTTTCATATTCCTAACTGGTGAGGAAGTCTCAGGCGCAACGCCCAGCCCGCCCTAAAAACTGCCCTCGGGGTGCGACAGGAAGAAGTTATGGATAAGGCAAGGAAGTGGATGAGGAGGAGGAAGACCAGGAGGACCAGGAGGAGGAGGAAGAGGAGGAGGAGGAGCAGGAGCAGGAGCAGGAGCAGGAGCAGGAGGAGAGTGACGGAGAGGAGGAGGAGGAGGAGGTGGAGGAGGAGGACGACGACGATGAGGAGGAGGACGAAGAGGAGGAGGAGGAGGAGGAGGAGGAGGAGGAGAAGGAGAAGGGGGAGTTGGAGGAGGAGGAGGAGGAGGAGGAGGAGGACCTCCCAGCCTCCCTTCTCCCTCGTCTTGCCTGTGGTAGTGGATCTGAAACTCGGCCCATCTTTGGGACAAGGGGGTGATCGAAATCTGCTGCATGTAGCTGGTTCTGGCCTCGCCACCGGGCACCCTGTTCGCAACGCTGGCGCCTCTGGCACAGGGAGGCGCCGGGAGAACCAGCTCCGTGAGCTGATTCGCCAACCCCTTTACACTCAGGGGAGGAAAAGATATTGATACCACTACCTTCACTCGTTGTCCCCTTTTTGGGCCTTGGGGCCTCCTGGGAGGCCCTCGCCGCCACCGCTGGATTCGCTTCAACATTTTGGTCAGAACGCACCCCAGGAGAGGTCCGGGGAGTACCGGTAGCGGTACCCTTTCGATGTCCCCCGATGTCGTGATTTTTCCCCACATGTTTCGTGGGGTTCTGGTTTTCTTCCCTGCCGCGGCGCACCCGCGTCTCACCTCACCTCACACCTCATCTTCCTCCCCTCACTCACACACACACACACACTTCACTCTTCCCCCCCTCGTCACAGCACTGCTCAGCTCACCTCAGCACAGCAAAGCTCAGCTCAGCACAGCACAGCTCGGCTCAGCTCAGCACAGCTCAGCACAGCCCAGCACGGCTCAGCTCAGCACAGCACAGCACAGCTCGTGGCATTTTCTCGACACCACAGGGGGTGCGCAGGGGGTGGTCTCTCAGCTCGGCCGCTATCCACGACACTGGCGCAAAGCCTAGCAGGCGTGGCACTCTCTCGACACCAAAGGGGGTGCGCAGGGGGTGGTCTCTCAGCTCGGCCGCTATCCACGACACTGGCGCAAAGCCTAGCAGGCGTGGCACTTTCTCGACACCACAGGGGGTGCGCAGGGGGTGGTCTCTCACCGCGGTTCCTATCCACGACACTGGCGCAAAGCCTAGCAGGCGTGGCACTCTCTCGACACCAAAGGGGGTGGGCAGGGGGTGGTCTCTCAGCTCGGCCGCTATCCACGACACTGGCGCAAAGCCTAGCAGCGTGGCACTTTCTCGACACCACAGGGGGTGCGCAGGGGGTGGTCTCTCAGCTCGGCCGCTATCCACGACACTGGCGCAAAGGCTAGCAGGCGTGGCACTTTCTCGACACCACAGGGGGTGCGCAGGGGGTGGTCTCTCAGCTCGGCCGCTATCCACGACACTGGCGCAAAGCCTAGCAGGCGTGGCACTTTCTCGACACCACAGGGGGTGCGCAGGGGGTGGTCTCTCAGCTCGGCCGCTATCCACGACACTGGCGCAAAGCCTAGCAGACGTGGCACTTTCTCGACACCACAGGGGGTGCGCAGGGGGTGGTCTCTCAGCTCGGCCGCTATCCACGACACTGGCGCAAAGCCTAGCAGGCGTGGCACTTTCTCGACACCACAGGGGGTGGGCAGGGGGTTGTCTCTCAGCTCGGCCGCTATCCACGATACTGGCGCAAAGCCTAGCAGGCGTCTCGCTTTCTCGACGCCACAGGGGGTGCGCAGGGGTTGTCTCTCAGCTCGGCCGCTATCCGCGACACTGGCGCAAAGCCTAGCAGGCGTGGCACTTTCTCGACACCACAGGGGGTGCGCAGGGGTTGGTCTCTCAGCTCGGCCGTTATCCACGACACTGGCGCAAAGCCTAGAAGGCGTGGCACTCTCTCGACACCAAAGGGGGTGGGCAGGGGGTGGTCTCTCAGCTCGGCCGCTATCCACGACACTGGCGCAAAGCCTCGCAGGCGTGGCACTTTCTCGAACACCAACAGGGGGGTGCGCCAGGGGGTTGGTCTCTCAGCTCGGCCGCTATCCACGACACTGGCGCAAAGGCTAGCAGGCGTGGCACTTGCGCGACACCACAGGGGGTGCGCAGGGGGTGGTCTCTCAGCTCAGCCGCTATCCACGACACTAGCGCAAAGCCTAGCAGGCGTGGCACTTTCTCGACACCACACGGGGTGTGCAGGGGGTGTGGTCTCTCAGCTCGGCCGCTATCCACGACACTGGCGCAAAGCCTAGCAGGCGTGGCACTGTCTCGACACCAAAGGGGGTGCGCAGGGGGTGGTCTCTCAGCTCGGCCGCTATCCACGACACTGGCGCAAAGCCTAGCATGCGTGGCACTATCTCGACACCACAGGGGGTGCGCAGGGGGTGGTCTCTCAGCTCGGCCGCTATCCACGACACTGGCGCAAAGGCTAGCAGGCGTGGCACTTTCGCGACACCACAGGGGGTGCGCAGGGGGGTGGTCTCTCAGCTCGGCCGCTACCCACGACACTGGCGCAAAGCCTAGCAGGCGTGGCACTTTCTCGACACCAAAGGGGGTGGGCAGGGGGTGGTCTCTCAGCTCGGCCGCTATCCACGACGCTGGCGCAAAGCCTAGCAGGCGTGGCACCTTCTCGACACCACAGGGGGTGCGCAGGGGGTGGTCTCTCAGCTCGGCCGCTATCCACGACACTGGCGCAAAGGCTAGCAGGCGTGGCACTTTCTCGACACCACAGGGGGTGCGCAGGGGGTGGTCTCTCAGCTCGGCCGCTATCCACGACACTGGCGCAAAGCCTAGCAGGCGTGGCACTTGGGGTGGTCTCAGCTCGGCCGCTATCCACGACACTGGCGCAAAACCTAGCAGACGTGGCACTTTCTCGACACCACAGGGGGTGGGCAGGGGGTGGTCTCTCAGCTCGGACGCTATCCACGACACTGGCGCAAAGCCTAGCAGGCGTGGCACTTTCTCGACACCACACGGGGTGCGCAGGGGGTGGTCTCTCAGCTCGCCCCGCTATAATCAACGACACTTGGCGCAAAGACTAGCAGCGTGGCACTTTTCGACACCACGGGGGGTGCGCAGGGGGTGGTCTCTCACGCGGTCCTATCCCACGACACTGGCGAAGGCTGCAGGCGTGGCACTTTTCGCACCACGAGGGGGTGCGCAGGGGGTGTCTCTCAGCTCTGGTCCGCTATTCCAACGACACTGTCGCAAAGCTATGCAGGCGTGGCACTTTCTCGACACCAAAGGCGGTGGGCAGGGGGTGGTCTCTCAGCTCGGCCGCTATCCACGACACTGGCGCAAAGCCTAGCAGGCGTGGCACTTTCTCGACACCAAAGGGGGTGCGCAGGGGGTGGTCTCTCAGCTCGGCCGCTATCCACGACACTGGCGCAAAGCCTAGCAGGCGTGGCACTTTCTCGACACCACAGGGGGTGCGCAGGGGGTGGTCTCTCAGTTCGGCCGATATCCACGACACTGGCGCAAAGCCTAGCAGGCGTGGCACTTTCTCGACACCACAAGGGGTGCGCAGGGGGTGGTCTCTCAGCTCGGCCGCTATCCACGACACTGGCTCAACGCCTAGCAGGCGTGGCACTTTCTCGACACCACACGGGGTGCGCAGGGGGTGGTCTCTCAGCTCGGCCGCTATCCACGACACTGGCGCAAAGGCTAGCAAGCGTGGCACTTTCTCGACACCACAGGGGGTGCGCAGGGGGTGGTCTCTCAGCTCGGTCGCTACCCACGACACTGTCGCAAAGCCTAGCAGGCGTGGCACTTTCTCGACACCACAGGGGGTGCGCAGGGGGTGGTCTCTCAGCTCGGCCGCTATCCACGACACTGTCGCAAAACCTAGCAGGCGTGGCACTTTCGCGACACCACAGGGGGTGCGCAGGGGGTGGTCTCTCAGCTCGGCCGCCATCCACGACACTGGCGCAAAGCCTATCAGGCGTGGCACTTTCTCGACACCAAAGGGGGTGGGCAGGGGGTGGTCTCTCAGCTCGGCCGCTATCCACGACACGGGCGCAAAGCTTTGCAGCCGTGGCACTTTCTCGACACCACAGGGGTATCTGAGCGCGGCCGCCACCCACGACACTGTCGCAAAGGGCCAGCCCAGGGGGTGATCTCTTGGTGCAGTGATTATCCACATAAGCAAACACATGAGATTTAAATTAAGTATGTGGGGTTCCTCGGTAGCGTAATTTCACCACGTGGGCCCGATCTCGACCCCTTTCGTAAGGACCAGCTTCCCATCCTGGAGCCGCTTCTGACATCCCCATAGAGTCCGCATGGAGGTATCTCGAGGCGCGGCAGAGCCTGGGCCCTCCTCGTCCGCAGGGGGCGCAGCGCAGGGGGCGCCCAGGGGCGCCCTGGGCGCCCTGGGCCCTGGGCGGCGGCCAAGTCACCGTGGGCCTGGCCTGGTGGGCCCTGGGGGCGTCCTGGGGGCTCCGAATCGCTTCGGAACGCTCCAGAGCGCTCCCGAATAGTCTCGGAGCGTCCTCCGAGGCGCTCCTCCGAACGCTCCGAAGCGATCAAAAGCCTCCCGGGCGGCTCCCAGCGCTTCCGTGCCCTTGCGTACCGACCTGCCGGGGGAGGAGGAGGAGGAGAGGAGCGGGAGGAGGAGGAGGAGGAGGGTTAGGAGAGGAGGGGAGGAGGAGGAGGAGGAGAGGAGGAGGAGGAGGAGGAGGAGCAGGAAGGAGGAGGTAGGAGGAGGAGGAGCAGAGGAGGAGGAGGAGAAGGAGGGTGGAGGAGGAAAAGGAGAGGAGGAGGAGCGGAGGAGGAGGAGGCGGAGGAGGAGGAGGGAGGAGGGAGGTGGAGGAGCAGGAGGAGGAGGCAGAGAGGCGGAGGAGGGAGGAGGAGGAGGAGGAGGAGGAGGAGGAGGAGGGAGGAGGAGTGAAGAGGAGGAGGAGGGTGGGGAAGGAGAAGGAGGGGAAGGGAGGAGGAGGAGGACCAGGAGGCGGAGGAGGGGGAGGAGGAGGAGTTCCCTTGCGTCCGACCTGCCAGGAGTCGGACAACCTCAGCAGCTTCGGGTCGCCGGGGCCCCTGCCGCGGCAGGAGACGGAGATGCACTGGCCGTCCTGGGGCGCGGCGGGCCTGCCGCAGCACGCGGGCGAGGGCGAGGGCGAGCCCGACCACTCGGGCGAGTGGCCCGGCGTGTTCTCCCAGGTGTGGAAGGAGGAGGAGGAGGAGGAGGAGGAGGAGGAGGAGGAGGAGGAGGAGGAGGAGGAGGAGGCAGAGACGGAAGAAGGCAGAGAAGCGAGGAGGAGGAGGAGGTAGGAGGAGGAGGAGGGAGGAGGAGAGAGGGGAGGACGGAGGTGGAGGATGAAGAGGAGGTGAGGAGGAGGGAAGATGAGGAGGAGGAGGGGGGCGGAGGAGGAGGGGGTGGAGGAGGAGAGGAGGAGGAGGAGGAGGAGGAGGAAGAAGAGGGAAGGAGGGAGGAGGAGCGGAGGCGGTTATGGAGGGTAGGAGGAGGAGGAGGGGAGGAGGTAGGAGGATGGGGAGGGAGGAGGGAGGAGGAGTGGAGGTGGAGGAGGAGGAGGAGGAGGAGGGCAGAGACGGAGGAGGCAGAGAAGTGAGGAGGAGGAGGAGGAGGCGGAGGAGGAGGAGGAGGAGGAGACGGAGGAGGAGGAGGAAAGAGGAGTATGAGGAGGAGGAAGAAGAGGAGGGAGGAGCGGGGGCGGAGGAGGAGGGGGAGGAGGAGAGAAAGAGGAGGGAGGAGGAGGAGGAGGAGGAGGAGGAAGAAGAGGAGGAGGAGGAGCAGGAGGCGGATGAGGCGGAGGAGGAGGAGGAGGAGGAGGAGGAGGAGGAGGAGGAGGATGGGGGAGGAGGAGGAGGAGGAGGAGGAGGAGGAGGAGCAGGAGGAGGAGGAGGATGGGGGAGGAGGCCACCTCACGAGTCCTTGACCTCGAACTGCAACCTCAACCCGTCTTGTCCCGAGCCCACTCCAGGAACTCACGAAGGGTCGCCTGGCTCGACTCCGACCCTGGAAGTCCAGAAAGAAGGCCTCGAGGCTGTCGACCCCCGTCTCGTTGTCGCTGCCGACCTCTGTCCACCGACCCACCAGCAGGAAAGTCCGGGAATTTTCTGGAAAATCCTGGACTTGGCAGGGGGGGGTCCGGGCCCAGGCCCAGCAGGTTTCGCTTTCAGCTCGACCTCGGGCGGCAGACCCAAGCCAGGCACATCGATCATCTCGACCTCCTGCTCATGCGGCTGCGCCTGCGGCACGTCCCCGAACTACTCGATTGCCCCGGCCCGCACGATGAGAGACTCGTTGCAACCGCCCGAGCCCGTGTCGATGTCCAGGGACGGGGACCGCGGCTCCTGCTGGAGCTCCTCCTCATTGGCTCTCTCCATCTTGAGCTCGTCGACCCTGAGCTTCGGGGTCGGCCTCAAGACCTGCTCAGAATCTCCATATCCACCCTTCTCGCCCACGCCCGCGGAAACCACCTCTCGGTCTGCAGGCAGCCCGGGCCCGGCACGGTCAGACCCCAAAGGGAAATCCGTGGGGTTCGGCCTATGGCCCTTCTCCGTGTCCTGCGCGTCGCTGCCCTCCAGCACGCTGCAGGAGTTGCTGACCTTTACAGCGTACTCAACGTGCACTTCGAGCAGCTCCTCCGACTTGACGACGAGGCTGTCGAGGCTGGCGTTGCCCTCAGTGCCATCCTCCACCACCTCGTAGATGCATCCTCCACGTGCGTATGCTTCCTCCTTCAAGTCCTCCTGCTTACTCTCCTCATCGTACTCGTTGTGGGTGCCGTCCATGCCGAACCCGAGGCTGTCGACCACTTCCTCGGGTCCCTCGCCGTCGCCGCCCTTGCTGCCGCTGATGACGCCGACCATCGATCGTGTCGGAGCCCAGCCTCCATAGGGAGTGACGTACTTCGCGAGCCCGCACAACCTTCTCGAATGCCTCCTGATTCAGCTTGAAGACGGCGCTGAAGGAGGTCTCTGGGACCTCGTCACGGTGCCAGCAAGCCCAGCCGTCTGCTGAGTCCACGCCGCCCATGGTGTCGTCTGGGTCCTCGTGCCCGTCGTCACTGAAGATGTCGAAGAGGTCCTCAGCCTTCAGTCCACCAGCCGCGAAGGGCTGGAGCGGGACCGGCACCTCCCCCTCCAGTATTCCCGCTCCCCCTCCTTGGCCTTCTTGGACTCCCGCCTCGACTTGTCCTTCTTCTCCTTCTTCTCCTTCTTGCTCTTCTCCTGCGGCACGGCGTGGCTGACGGAGTTCGCGCCGATCCACTGCGCCCGCATCTCAATCTGCTCCGTGTCCGCCCCCTGCTTCTCCAGGTGCTCCTCTTGGTCCGGCCTCGGGGATGCCACCGGAGTCCACTGCCCAGGCGGTGGAGAAGGTGGCGCCGCCGGCTCCATCACGCCGTCCTCGATGGCCATGGCCAGCAACGGCGCGCACGACGGCCTCGGCCTCGACTGTGCGGGAGTTGGCTGGACTGCCGCCACAGCCGCCGCCACCGCCGCTGAGACCGCCGCCAAAGTGGCCGCCTCCACGATGTCCAACACCGACTGGCTGGGCTCCGCCGTACTCGACGTCCAGCTCGATGCAGACGATGTCCGCCAGGGCGCGGTCGCGTGCCAGACGCGCCATGGCATGCCTGGCTCGGGGCAGCTGCGCCCCTCTGAAGTGCGCTGCCCTCAAAGGCCCCCCATGGGCCTTGAGCCAGAATGGCTTGAGCCAAAATGGCTACGGAGACGGAGACCGAGGAGGAGGAGGAGGAGGAGGAGGAGGAGGAGGAGGAGGAGGAGGAGGGGGAGGAGGAGGAGGACGAGGAGGAGGAGGAGGAAGAGGAGGAGGAGGAGGAGGAGCAGGAGCAGAGAAGGAGGAGGAGGATGAGGAGGAGAAAAAAGGAGGAGGAGGTGGAGAAGAAAGGAGGAGGAGGAGGAGGAGCAGGAGGAGGAGGAGGAGGGAGAGGGCTGCATTCGGCGGCGAGCGAGGGGGGGAACGTGAAAGAGGACGCCTTCTCAGACTCAGAGGGCGGCTTGACTTCTCGGAGGCCCTCAGGCCTTCTGAGAGGTGTTATTCCGTCTTCGGGGGAGGCTCAGAAAACTAGTCAGAAGGCTGGGGGACTTCCGAGCCTTCGAAGAATTCCCGCCCCTTCTCACGTCACCCCCTGGGCGTGCTGCCAATGCATGCAGTCGAGTTTGACCATCGACCCTGTTAAATCAAGGACACCCTCGTGTCCGTCTGGCGGCACATGCCTTCTGCATCCCTATGGCACTGTGGCCATCGGGAGGGTCTCGTGTCCTCCCGCGTGTCCTCTCCAATCAAAACTCGCCTGTAAACGTAAACCGGTGGGAGTCCGCGCGACTTTCTTGGATCGGAGCTGGGACCCCCCCTGGCGGCGCTTCCGGCGGCGCCCCTGGGGCGCTCCGCGCGACAGGGAGAAGGGGGCCAGCGCCGATTCGAGAAGCCCACGCGGAGGTCCGAAGGCTTATGCTGATACAAACGGCAGGGGCAACGTTTCAGCCGGACCGAGATATAAGATCGAGGTCATTTCGGGGAGAGTACCTTTAGTGTTCTTCGTCTTTGTTGGAGGTTCTTGTGCACCGGAAGGGGAGAGGGTGCCCTCGAATGCTCTTCCGTCTTGGCCGGCGGAGGGTCTCATGCTTTTGCAGGACAGTTTGTCTGTCCTAGGTCCGACCGTAGGGGAGGGGACGGGCTCAGGGTTGGGACGCATCGACCCTGAATCGGCCATGGATCGCCGAGGGGGGCCCGATCTTGGCATCGCTCGGACGTGTGCATGTTTCCCTCGGCGAGGACCCTCGAGGAGCATCCTTGATCCTCGAGCCGAAGAAAAAACACGCACGAAACCGAAACATGCACGCGGAATGGACGTCCGAGCGATGGCATGTGGCATGTTGGGGCCCGATCGGCCCACCCTGCCGAGGGCCGTGCGGACTTGCATCTGGGGACCTGCCGCCGACCTGTCGGCGATGGGTCGCCGCTGCCGGGTCGATGGTTCCCTCCCTGAGCCGGTCCCCCCCCGAAAGTTTCCCCTCAGAGAAGAGCGAGGAGGAGAAAAGAGGAGGAGGAGGAGGAAGAGGAGGAGGAGGAGGAGGGGGAGGAGGGGGAGGAAGGGGAGAGTGGAGTCCCGGGAGGAGGATATTGAGATGGTGGAGGAGGAGGAGGACGAGGAGGAGGAGGAGGACGAGGAGGACGAGGAGGACGAGGTGGAGGAGAAGGAGAAGGAGAACGAGGAGGAGGAGGAGGGGGAGGAGGACTTTGCCCCTCAGGTGTCCGACGAACAGATGCTGATGCCCATGGCCTCGCTGGGCAGCTCTGGGGGCTGGCAGAACGCCATGGCGAGCACCGCTCTCCAGGCCTCCTGCGGCTTCGACGCCTCGCTGGCCAGCGCGGCCATGGCGGCAATGCAGGACAGCCGCGGGGCTGCGGTCGCTGTTGCTGTCCCCCCCTCCCCGTGCGTTTCGCGCTTCCCCTCCTCGTCGTCGTCTTCGTCGTCGTCGTCTTGGTGGTGGTGGTGGTGGTGGCGGTGGTGCTGGTCGTCTCCCTGCCCCGTTGCTGCTATCCATCTCCTTCTCCCTTCTCCCACGCTGGCTGGGGGGCGCGGAGTGGATCGTGCCGCGCGGCCCGCCCGAGGCCTGGGTCGGGGGCACCTCTCCCGCAGGCTCGTGGAGGCCTGCAGGGCTCCCGAGCGGCGGCGGCCGCACCGCATAGGACAACCGCGCCGGCGGTGTCCACGCCGGGGTCCCCTCGCCGGAGTGGGCCAGCGTCTACACCGTCATGATGCGCAACCTGCCCAACAAGTACACCCAGCAGCTGCTCCTGGAGGAGCTCGGCGGGCGACGCGCGGCGCGGCGCGGGCTCCTCCGCCGGCGAGGCGCCGGTCTCGGGGCGGTCGGGGAGCTTGTGCCCCGATGTGCCGCCGTGGGGGCAGAAGCTTTCCTGTCGCCTTGGGACAGGCGTCCCAGCGGCGGACAGACAAGTTTCCAGTGGGGGCGCGCATCGAGAAACCATATGCTTTTCGTCAGGGTATCCTGGGTTTCTTCGCTCCTCGCGCTGCGCGGTGACTTCCCGCAGCCGTTGAAGGAGCTGCTGCGTTCAGGGTGCTCCGGGTTTCCCCTCAGTTGCACCTCCCTCACGGTCTCTCAGGGTTGGGTTTCTTGCGAGGGTTTCTTGCGGCCGCGCCCGCACTGTATGTCATACCGTTCGTCGCCCGCCAAGGAGCTGAACGACTCTGGGTTCCTTGGGACCTTCGATTTCCTGTATCCGGTGGCGCTGCCGCGCAGAGTTACCAACCAGCGGGCTGCAGGGAATCGCGCACCAACGGTGCGACGTGGCATGGCTGTGGCGCACATATTTTCTCGATTATTTCTGGGGCCTGTTGGTGGGAGAGGGGGGGGAGAAAACATACACACAGACACACACACACACACACAGACACACACACACACAGACACACACACACACAATGGATGGTTCATTCCCCAAGCGGTGCTTGAACTGAAGGTGTCCTAGCGGAGATTGAAAAATTTGGCGAAAGTGCCAGATCGATTTCAGTAGGCAGCCCGGTTCTTGGGTTCCCGGGTTCCTGGTTGTTGGTTCCGGACTGATTTCGGTGGGCGGCGGGGTTCCCAGCTTTCCGGTGTCCGGGGTTTTTGGTCGATCTCTTTATCGATCGGTCTCACCATCGATCGCACGACCCATCTCTCTACTGATCGCACAATCCATCCCACTACAGATCGCACCAGCGATCTCACGATCGATCTCATTATCGATCTCACTGAATCGACTTCACGATCAGTCTCACGATCGACCTTCCTATCGTCCTTACTATCGATCCCACTATCGGTCTCACTAGCGATCTCACAATCGATCTCAATATTCATATCACGAGTTTCCAAACCATCCACTGATTGGGGTTTTTCTCTGGTGTAATTTGTTGTTTCCATGGCGCCCTCTGGATGACTCCTCGGTGGCCTCTGGCCGCCTTTAGCGGGGCCCCGTCTAAGGTCGTCAGTCCGTCGTCGGGAGTCGCGAGGTCGCCAGGTAATGCCTTGGGGCCGCTTGGTGGTCTTTGGTGACTCTTGTGGGGTAGGCAAACCTGCCGTAGTGTCCGTGCTCCTCGTGCGCGGCCCATCTTGAGAGTGGGCACGGCCAGGGGCTTCATCGGGGCCCTCACGTTCGGGGCTCGAGAGACGGGGGCCAATACAAAGGGGGGGCAGCCAGAGCGCCGGATCTTGCAGAGGATCCTGCAGGGCCAGGGTTGCACTGACCCGGGCTTGGGTGCAGGATCCTGCAGGGCCTTGCAGCATCCTTCGCATTGACCCGGGTTTGGGTGCAGGATCCTGCAAGGCCCCCCTCACCTTCCCACCCTACAACTGGCAGGGTCAGCTTTTTCGCCACCGAGGTACCAAAACGATGGGGCACGTCGCCAACCATCAGTGCGTATAGGCACGGGAAATTCGCGGGGGCGATAGACCTTCTCAGGAGTTGCACACAGGGCTGGACGCACACCCACCGCTGCAGGCGCGGAGGCGGACCTACCCATTGACCCTGACACCATGGCAAACAAGGGGTACGCTTTCATCAGCTTCATCAGCCCTGCGTCCGCCTGGCTGCTGCGGCTGACGTACGAGGGCCGCAAGATGTCGCGCTTCAACTCCGACAAGGTGGTGTCGGTGAGCCCGGCCGCGCTCCAGGGCTTCGAGGCCAACTACGCGCACTACTCCACCGCCCGGGTCAGCCGAGGCGACCCCGCGCTGCGGCCGCTCTTCCTGCGGGAGTCCGCCACCAAGGCCGTCAAGAGCGGCCCGGGCCGCCGCCGCGGGGGCCGGCGCAGCGCGGGCAGCCTGATCGACGCGGCCGCGCGGGAGCAGCACCAGCGCCAGGAGGAGCGCCAGGCCACGGCCGCGGCCGTCCGGGCGCCCGCCCTGCCCGGCAGCGCCGTGTACTTCGGCCTCAACGCCAGGCCCGGCGCCGGCGGCAAGAAGCCGGGCGGGCCCGCCGCGGCGGAGCCCGGCGGGCCCGCGGGCAGGCCGCCGAAGCGTGTGGCCGCCAAGTTCTGCCCGTACTGCGGGGGGGCGGCCCAGCCCGAGCACAAGTTCTGCAAGTTCTGCGGCGCGTCGATGCAGTTCGACTGAGCGGCGGGGCCCGTGCCGAGGGCGGCGGCGCAGGAGCGGGGGCGGGCAGGAATGCGGGGGGGGGGCGCGCGGGCGGAGGAGATATTCGGACGAGTGCGCTCCGCTGGCGCTCGGTTTCCAGCCAGCTGGGCCTCCAGCGCACTCGCCTCCGAGGGCCCTGCACGGAAGCGCTCTTGTGGAGCGAGATGGCGCAGAGGGCCAGGAGTGGAAGCGAGGCGAGAATCTGCTTGCATGTGGTGCAGAGGCAGCTGGGCGCGCAGCCCACCTGGCGTGTGCCAGAGTTTTCCAGGGGGGGTCACCCTTCCCTTCAGGGGCAGAGTTAGGGGGGACAGGCTGGGAGAGATGCATTGGCCCTCAACCGCCCACTCGTCGCCGAGATGGGGCCCGATCACTAGCCCAGCCCGCCCGTGGCGGTACGGAGTTGATATGGGGGGCGCATCGCCGATATACCGGCGATGCATCGCCGATTCCACGTCGATGTTCCCCCCTCCTGAGCCGGACCCTAACGCTCCCCCACACTGTCAGCTGGTCGGACCAGCCCACGGTGCAGCACCAGCACAGCGCGCTTCACCATATTTTCGTAGTGCGAGCTAATTGTCTTGGACTTGTCGGGGGGCTAGCCGTGCTCCCACTTGACTGGTCAGCTGCCCAACCGTCTCTTTGATGGCCCTGGCTGCAGCTGGTGGCATGATTCTCCCGCCGATGCCGCTCCTTCTCCTCCTCCTACTATGTATTATGGCCCTGCCTGAAGTCTCCACAGCAGGGCGCATCGCGACTACTTTCATGCACTGCATGCTGTCGCGTTTCGGATTTTCGGCTGCTTGCCTCGGCTGCTTGGCAGCACCACGCGCTGGCCAGCGGACACCCCCTGCGCTAGCCTGCGGAGCGTAGCACTGCCACATCTTCTCGCGCGCAAAGGGGCCACGCCAGCGCCGTCAGAGACGAGGGATACCCGCCGCTGGATCGCCAGGCTAGCCCCCTTTCGCTGCGAAAACGGCCCTGAACCCGAGCCTGCAAGGCTTTCCTCCTCCTTCTCATCCTCCTCCTCCTCTTCCTCCTCCTCCGCCTCGTCTTGCTCCTCCTCATCCTCCTCTTTCTCCTCGTTCTCCGTCCTCAAGCTCCCCCTCCCCACCGCCTCCCCGCCCCCCGCCAGCTCCCCCTCCACAGTTCTTCAATGTGAGTACCAGTCTTCTCGCCCAGGAGGGGCTGTCCGAGCGGGGCCCCTTTTTTTTTTCTCACGCAAATCGTCCTGTAAGTGTACATGATATCCAAGGTCACCTGCACGATGTCGCCGCGCCACTTGTTCCGACGCGCGGCCTTACGCCTCGGGCGCGCAGGGTTTGCCGTGGGGTTTGTCGTGGTGTCGGCGTCGTCCATTTGGGCGCGTTCAGAACAAGCGGCGCGGCGACATATTCTATGTTCAATCGGAGCACTTCTGGTGTTTCCACTGTGCGTCCCGCTGCATCGTTGGTTTCCTTTTCGGATCGACGCTTTGCCCCCGTCGCTCAAATTGGCGATTCCGCCTCAACGCAGGCGACGATTCTGGATCCGGGTCCTTCATCATCGTTGTCGCCCCGCTATGTTCCTCTCCTCCGCCTTGCCCCGGTCCTGCTTCTCCCGCTCTTCCTACTATTGTTCCTGCTGCTGTCCTTTTATGCCCTTTTCGTCTTGTCCTCATCCTCTTCGTCCTGCGTATCCTCTGGATCATTTGCCACCATCTCTTCTCCCCGTGTACACTGCTCACAATTCTTTAGAGTGCATAACATGGTCGGGGTCCTTTCGGAGGGTTCCAGGTCCGCTATGACGCCAGTCGGCGGAGAGAAAGCCCAGCGCAATGGGAGGAGATGGGTGGAAAGGGTAGGATGTCAAACGCGGCGCGTGCGCACATGGTTTGTCTCCCCCCTCTCTGCCTCCTCCGCCGTTGTCACTTTGGTTTCAAGATGTTGTTTTCGTGAGAGAACCAATTTGGTACCGCTCGTCCGCGGCTTTCCTTCACTCACTTCCTGCTTACCTTCTACGTCAGTGCAGGTTGCCATTGTTCCTCTCCTTCCACCATCACATGGCAGTCGCTTGACGTCGTGGCGCTCGGCTGCGTGCTGCTACTACTGACTGCTGCGACTGCTCTCGTCAGGTGCGCCATTTCCACGTCATGGACAACATGCTTGATGGAGCCTGCCGCTTAAATAACCTCATGCCCGTGAGAATAAACACTAGGGGATAATAAAGTTCGGGGTTCAGGGAGAGATAATAAAAGTAGCCCAGCAGACCTCAGCATAATCTCGAAGTAAGAGATGATCAAGAGGAGACCAAGCCGAGCACGTTTTGAGACATCCTTGGCGTTTAGTTTTCATAGAAATATCCTCAACAATAGATCTCCTGAAAATTGTTTTTTGTAAGTGCTCGTGTAGGGTAGCTCATGTGCCTCAATTTCCATGGATAATCAACCCCAGAGATAAAAAAGTTTTGGCGAGCGTGGGGACAGAGAGAAATATAAAAGAAGAAGGATACAGTAGAATAATAATAAGAAAGAAGAAGAAGAGGAGAATATGAAGAGGACGAAGAAAGGAAAAATCCAAAGTTACAAATCTATCACTTTTAATTTACAAACGCTTTATGAAAATTGATGTTTTGTAAGTGCTCGTGTAGGGTAGCTCATGTGCTTCATTTTCCATGGATAATCAACCCCAGGGATAAAAAAGTTCAGGCGAGCGTGAGGACATATAGAAATATAAAAGAAGAAGGGGAAAGTATAATAATAATAATAATAATAAGAACATTGCTCGTTTCGTTTGAGTCTGCCTCCCAAAATTATTGGTTTCGCTTGACACATCCTGAAAAGTGTGATCGCTTCGCTTGATGTTGCTATATCAACATCGCTTGATGTTGCTATATCAACATAGCGTTTCGAGGTGATAATGAAGTTCGGCCTCAACGCTCGCCGCCCAATTTGAATTTTGAATAGGGCGACGATAATCAACTCTAAACACTGAAGGGGGGGTCCCTTTATTATCACCGGCATGCGGTTAAAGTGCCGCCTCGTAAACTACACGGGATTCCTTCACCAGTTGAAGCCCAAAAAGGCAGTGCTTCTCGTGGGCGTTATGACGATGTGCGCTCAAGGTATGATCGTGCGGCTGCAAACACGGATGGCGACAACGAGCAAAACGATTGGTACGGCAGCCATATTAAAGAATTGGTCAGCGCTCACATTCGCGAGACTTTCGGAAGCTCCAGCCAGGGATGTTAGGAGAAATTCTCTGCCTCTTCAAGGGACGCTGCCGTTGCTTCTTCGGGTGGGCACCAACGACCTGGCCGCCAAGCAACTCGGCGACGCGCTCTTCAACGCACCAGCTAATGCGGCAGCCGCCGCGCACGCAAGCACCTGGCCAGAATTCGACGACATTGGGAAGCGCGCGCAGAAGCATATGGATGATGTTGGTCAAAAGTTGGGCGAACAAGCTGGCAATCTCCAGAGGGAAGGAGACTTCCCCTTCGGCCTTCAGCCACAGATTCAAGGAATCAGGAGGGCGCCTGCGCTGGCCTGGCGCGCCCCTCCCCCCAAAAGCCCAACAACCGCGCCTTCAAGCGCGACATAGACACCATCATCCTAGAAGTCACCGCGTCCAGAGTGGTCCAGAAAGAGAATGCCGCGAGGTTCCTGGGAGTTTTGTTCAAGAAAGCGGACCTCGAGGGCGCGTTGAAGGCGGGGTCGGCCGAGGCGCAATCTAAGCTCTTCGTTGTGCAGTTTTCTGGGCCAGTGTCAGTGGCTTCAAGGGGGGCCCAGCAAGCGTCGGGCGCAAATTTAAAGACGGGTGGGCCAGACCCCCCTCAGTGGACGGCCCGACTACCCAGCTGCACGGTGGACTTGAGAAGTCATCTTTCCCCATGCGCAGGGAGACCCAAGGCAAGGAGCGAGTCAGCAAGCTGCGGAGTGAGTTCGGTCACAAAAAGGGTTTATTTGGGCAAGGGAGCGGATGATTCTCGGAAAGCTCAACACCCCTGCCCCCGCTGGCCCCGGCGCTGGCAGGGAAACGACATCGGGCCACTAGAACGACGAAGATTTGGCAGGGAAGAATATCCCTGTCAGCGAATTATCCGCCACGTAGAGCCCATCGTCTCTCCCGACGCTCAACAATAGTGGTGTCATCGACAACTTCCTGGCTTTTCGGCACGGCGCGCCTCTCGGGCCACGGGCGTTAGAAGGTTCGGCGGGATCTGCGAATTGGGCGCTGGCGTTCGGCGCGCGGAACGCTCGGGCAGGGCTCGGGCGGCGCGGCGCGATGCCTCCCAGAAAGGCGGGCGACCTTAGGCGTTGCGAGGCGAGTCGCACCTCTCACCTCTCTAGCGGTTCAAGGGGCGCACCGGACCAAGGGCCAAATCAAGACCTTCTCTTGGCGCGTTGCGCCCCATTCCGCAGTCTTCCGCAGCACCATGTCCGATCGTTCCTCGCGCGACAAAGCGGGGGCGGCACGAGCTCTGCCTCTGTCGGGCGACGCTGCGAGGTCGGCGACGGAGTCCACGCCGGTTAGAGGGTGGGGCCTCGAAGACACAGGGGAATCGGTCAAGGTCGAATTGCGCCAATAAAACATCCACAACCTTGATCTTTCGGAGAGACAAGTGCCTCGCATTCCTCTCGCCATGCAAAAATGATGAATGGGCAAGACGAGATCCGCGGCCTCGACTCCTGATCGCGGCCGGGAGAGGCGAGGGGCGGGGGCGCGAATTTCGACCCGCTGCAGCAAACAGCACCCACTTTAAACGCAGGGGAGAAGCCCGCTCAGCGAGCGCAGAAATTCGTGCTACCCCGCGGCGAAGTGGAGGAAGGTGTTCGACACGCTGGTGGAGCTCTCGGCGGACGACCAGACCCGCTTCTGCAGCGACGCCGGCACGCGGTCGCCGCCGGGCCGGATCTGGACAGCCACCCTTGCAGGGGTGACGCGTCGGCATTCGCGCGGCGGAGCCGCGGTTGACTCGCCCGAGACGCCGCGCGACGATGGGAC